CGGGGGGGGGGGGGGCCCCCGGGGGGGGGGGGGGCCCCCGGGGGGGGGGGGGGGGCGGGCAGCGAGGGACTGGGGGCACTGCTGGGGGACCCCGGGCCGGGCTGGGGGGGTGCAAGAGGGGGGGCAACCAGGGGAGGGGGGTACCAGGAAAGTAGGGGGAACCCAGGTGAGGGTGGGGGGCACCAAGGAGAGAAGGGAGCACTCAGGGCAGGCACCCAGCTGAGGAAGGACCCACGTGAGGGGGAACATCCAGGAGAGAGGGGGCACCAGGAGAGTGGGAGGCACCAAGGCCGAGGGGGGGTCACCCAGGAGAGAAGGGGGCACTCAGGTCTGTGGGGGCACCTGGAGAGGGAGGGAACCCAAGGGTCCTGGCACCCAGGACCCCCGGGACCTCCGTGGGTGGCCGGGAGCTGCTGTAGGTGTAACACTGGGGGCGGTGGCACCGTGAGCACGGGACACGTCCTGGCACCTGTGGGAGCCGTGGGCACCCCAAAATTCCGGCACTGCTGTCCCTCTGGGGCTCCTGTTTGTCCCCAGTCCTACACAGGGACAGCACGGGAGGGGCTGCTGGAGCTGAGAGAGCACAGGACAAAGCGGAGCTTTCTTATAAATTTATTACATAATAATAATAATAATTAATAATAATAATATAATATAAGAAACATAGATCTCTGTGGGGGATGTGTATCACAACGTCAAGGGCGGGAGGCGAATGGCCGCACCTCCATGACTCTGGAGAAGGAGAAATCTCCTCCGGAAAAATCCATACAAAATAAGGGTGAAGTCAAACCGACCCTGGGGAAAAATTAAAACCGGAACGAAAACCCACAGGTGAGTCCGTCTGGGTGAGAACCAAGAGTGTGTGGATGGCGGGGCCGCGGCGGGAGCCGGTCTGTGCACATGCAGTGGGCGTGAGGGTGGCTCCGCGGGTGGCACATGCATGGGCAGTGAGGGCTGTCCGGGGCGCGGGCGGGCGGGCACCGCGCCGGGACGGGGCCGGCGGGAGCCAAGTGCTCCGGGTTGTTTTGTCTGGGGATTGGGGGGGTCACGGACAGGCTGATGGAGGGGGAGGTGGGGGGGGCGATGGCGCTCGGCTGGACAACGGAAAATACTCCTAAACAACTTCTAAAAAAAAAAAAAAACCAAAAAAAAAAAACCCCCTTCGAAGCAGGGGGGAAAAAAAAAAAAAAAAAAAAAAAGTGTCTCCCTTTGTACAGCGGATAAACCCAAGTCGTTGAGAAGCCATGAGAATCACAGTAACCGCCGCGGCCGGGCCCGGCGCCACGGCACGCGCGGCACGGGGCGCGGCACGGCCCGGGGGTGGCCACGGGGGCGGCACGGCCGAGGGGTTGGCGTGGCCGAGGGGCCAGGAGGGCCGAGGGGTGGTCGAGGGCTCGGCACGGCCGAAGGGTTGACGTGGCCGAGGGGCGGCCGAGGGTTTGGCGTGGCCAGCAGGTTGGCGTGGCCGAGGGGTCGGTGTGGCCGAGGGGTCAACCTGGCCACGGGGTTGGCGTGGCCAAGCGGTTGGTGGGGCCAAGGGCTGGCCAAGGGTTTGGCACGACCGATGGGTGGCTGAGGGGCCAGCACGGCCAAGGGGCAGGCAAGGGGTCAGCGTGGCCGCTGGGTTGGTACGGCCAAGGGGTGGCCAAGGGTTCGGCATGGCCAGTGGGTTGGCCAAGGGTTCAGCACGGCCACAGGGTCAACGTGGCCAAGGGGACGGTGTGGCTGGTAGGTTGGCGTGGAGGACGGGTCAGTGTGACCAAGGGGGCGACACGGCTGATGGATTGGCGTGGTCAAGGGGTGGCCAAGGGTTCGGCACGGCCGA